TGTTCTACTTACTATGCTCTCTTTGGTTGCTTCTTGTCTGTGCCCTGACCAGGGATCCAACCTGCAACCTTGCTGTATCAGGAGGAGGTTCTAACCCACTGCTCAGGGTGCTGCCTGTCAGGGCCCCTCAACAAAATCCCTCTGGTGTGCCCTGGCCCCTGCTGTGGGTCAGAGCTCCTCTACCACAGCAAAGGTTTGGGTTCCATTCTGTCAGGTTTTGGGTTTGATTCCTGGTCCAGGCTGACTGCTGCTCAGCAAGTGACCGAGGACCATTGAAGTCCATGTGCTCTAGTCATTCAGCCGGCACCCGGGGTTCCATGGCTGACTTGGCCGACTCTGATCCCTGCTACCCCCAGTCCTCCATCCAGGGCCACTTCAACTATAAAAGTTGCGTGGCCTCCAGGTAGGTCGCCCTCTCCATGGCTCGCCAGGCTTGGTTTCTCCACAGTTACCCTGGGAGGCTGATTTCCAGGTTACCAGGGAGAGCGCCCTCCACTCCGGACTCCCAGGGAGAGCCGGTTGGGGCATGAGTGCTGGCTGACCTCTGTGGTTGCCTCACCAGCCCCGATCTCCCCTGCCAGTGGCCCCGCCCCTCCCTTCATGATCACATATCTGGGGCCACAGGCATGGCTGCACCCGATGCCCTGGGTGCCGCCATGCTTGTGGCCCCGCCCCTCCCTTTGCCATTGCAGATCAGAGGGCTGCAGGCACGGCTGCACCCTGGGCCTGCACCTGGTGCTCAGGGTGCTGCCATGCCTGCTGCTCCACCCCTCCCTTCCTGATCACATATCCGGGGGCCTCAGGCACGGCTGCACCTGATGCACTGGGTGCCGCCATGCTTGTGGCCCGCCCCTCCCTTCACGATAGCAGATCAGAGGGCTGCAGGCACGGTTGCACCCAGGGCCTGCAGCTGGTGCCCTGGAGGCTGCCATGCCAGCTGCTCCACCCCTCCCTTCTCCATGCAGATCGGGGGCTGCAGGCTCGGCTGCACCCGATGCCCTGGGTGCCGCCATGCTTGTGGCCCCGCCCCTCCCTTCTCATGGCAGATCAGAGGGCTGCAGGCAGGCTGCACCCTGGGCCTGCACCCGGTGCTCAGGGTGCTGGCATGCCTGCTGCCCCACCCCTCCCTTCTCCATTGTAGATCCGGGGGCTGCAGGCACGTGCACCCGATGCCCTGGGTGCCGCCATGCTTGTGGCCCTGCCCCTCCCTTCGTGATCGCATATCCAGGCGGTAGGCACGGCTGCACCTGGTACCCCAGGTGCAGCCGTGCTTGCGGCCCCACCTCTCCCTTCAAGATCGCAGATCAGGGGACTGCAGGCTAGTTGGCATCCCTGGCCCCTGTGGTCCTGCACCCCGGCTCTCTCTTCCTCCGATTGCCATGGCGATCACCAGCACCCCTGACAGGGGTGTCGCCTGGCCTGCTGGGCTTTCTGATAGCGATCACTGGCTGCGGGCTGCCTTTGCCCGCCCCCCAGCTCTGCCCTGCCACCATTCTTCCTCTTTCCCCTTTTGCCTCCCATCATTGCGCCTATGTATGCAAATTAGCCGCCATCTTTGTTGGTGGTTAACCGCCATCTTTGCTGACAGCTAATTTGCATATGCTCACTGATTAGCCAATGAAAAGGGTAGCGGTCGTACGCTAATTACCATGTTTCTCTTTTATTAGTGTAGATACTTATATTACATGCTTATGTAATAATAGTTACAATATATCAAATATATATAGATATGTAAAAGCTATATATAGCCTGGCTGGGTGGTTCAGGTGGTTGGAGTGTAGTCCCATACCCCAAAAGGTTGCAGGCTCCATCCCAGCTTGGGGTACATTCTGGAGGTAGCCAATTGATGTTTCTCTCTCTCTTCTTCCTCTTTCTAAAATAAAAAACATATCCTCGGGTAAGCATTAAATTTTTTTTATTTTTTAAATTTTTTTAAACTTTTTTTTAACTTTTTATATATTTTTTTAATTGATTTTTTACAGAGAGGAAAGGAGAGAGATAGAGAGTCAGAAACATCGATGAAAGAGTAACATCGATCAGCTGCCTCCTGCACATCTCCCACTGGTGATGTGCCCACAACCTAGGTACATGCCCTTGACTGGAATCGATCCCGGGACCCTTCAGTCTGCAGGCCGACGCTCTACACACATAGATTCTAGCAAAATGGATACCAAGACAAAATACAAATGAATAGCTTATGTTACTTGAAGTGTTGAATACTTACATTATTGATAAACTAAAGTCCTGGTGCACAAAAATTTGTGCACTCGGTGGGGTCCCTCAGCCCGGCCTATGCCCTCTTGCAGTCTGGGACCCCTCAGAGGATGTCCACCTGCTGGCTTAGGCCTGCTCCCTGGGGGATTGGGCCCAAGCTGGCTGTCAGACATCCCTCTGGCAGCCCAGCAGCCCTTGGGGGATGTCCACTTGCCAGCTGGGAGCAGGCCTAAGCTGCACTCGGACATCCTTAGCACTGCTGAGGAGGCAGGAGAGGCTCCTGCCACCACTGCTGTACTGGCAGCTATCAGCCTGGCTGTGGCTGAGCAGAGCTCCCCCTGTGGGAGCACACTCACCACCAGGGGCAGCTCCTGCATTGAGCATCTGCCCCCTGGTGGTCAGTGTGTGTCATAGTGACCAGTCATTCCCAGTCGTTCTGCTGCTAGGGTCAGTTTGCATATTACCCTTTTATTATATAGGACTAGAGGCCCGGTGCACAAAAATTTGTGCACTGGCGGGGGGCGGGTATCCCTCAGCCCCACTTGTGCCCTCTCACTGTCTGGGACCCCTCGGGTGATAACGACCTGCTGGCTTAGGCCCGCTCCCAGGTGGCAGAGGGCAGGCCCAATCCCTAGGTACCTGCCCCGCAGCCCCTGGTCGGGCTCAGAGCAGGGCCGATTGGGTAGTTGGGGAGCCGCCCCCTGTCATGCACAGAGCAGGGTGGATCAGGAGGTTGCGATGCCACCCTCAGTCACGCTCAGGGTAGGGCCGATTGGGGGGTTGGGGCGCCGCCCCCTGTCACACACAAGGCAGGGTCGATGGGGAGGTTGCAGCGCCACCCCCTGTCACGCACAGAGCAGGGCAGATCAGGGGGTTGTGGCGCCACCCCTGTCACATACAGAGCCGGCCGATCAGGGGGTTGGGGCGCTGCCCCCTGTCACACACAGAGCAGGGCCAACCAAGGGGTTGGGGAGCTCCCCCCTGTCACCCACAGAACAGGGCCGATCAGGGGGTTGGGGAGATCCTCCCTGCCATGCACAGAGCAGGGCGGATCAGGAAGTTTCGATGCCACCCTAAGTCACGCTCAGGGTAGGGCTGATTGGGGGGTTGGGGCACCACCCCCTGTCACACTCAAGGCAGGGCCAATGGGGAGGTTGTGGCTCGACCCCGTCACACACAGAGCAGGGCCCATGGGCGGGTTGGGGCGCTGCACCCTGTCACACACAGAGCAGGGCCGATCAGGGGGTTTGGGAGCTCCCCCCTATCAGGCACAGAGCAGGGCCAATTAGGGGGTTGGGGTGCCTTTCCCTGTGACGAACAGAGCAGGGCGGATAGGGAGGTTGTGACCCCGCACTCTGTCACACACAGAGCTGCAGGGCGATCAGGGGGTTTGGGCGGTGCCCCCTGTCACGCTACTCCAGGGGCCAGCAGGCCTCGCGGCTCCACTGATCCCAGTGCTGGGAGGCCTCGCGGCTCTGCTTGACACCGGGGCAGTGAGGCCTCGCTGCTCCGCTGATCCCGGTGCTGGGAGGCCTCGCAGCTCCGCTGATCCTGGGTTTGGGAGGCCTTGTGGCTCCGCTGATCCCGGTGCTGGGAGGCATATTACCCTTTTACTATATAGGATAGAGGCCTGGTGCACAGGTGGGGGCCTGCTGGTTTGCCCTGAAGGGTGTCCTGGATCAGGGTGGGGGTCCCCACTGGGGTGCCTGGCCAGCATGGATGAGGGGATGATGGCTGTTTGCAGCTGGTCACAGCCCCTTCAGGGTAGGGGTCCCCACTGGGGTGCCTGGCCAGCCTGGGTGAGGGGCTGAGGGCCGTTTTCAGGCTGGCGGGTGACTGAAGCTCCCAACCTCTCCTTTTTTTCTTTTTTTTAAATTCTGGGATTTATGTACCTTCTATGGCTGTCACTGGAGCTGAGAGCCGGCTTTAGCTCTGAGGCTCGGCTCCAGCTCTGAGACCTCGGCCGCTGAAAGCAAGTTTCTGGGCTTTGTTTACCTTCTGTATTTGAACCTTTGTTGCAACTCCAGCTCTGAGATCCTGGCTGACTGAAAGCAGGTTTCTGGGTTTTGTTTAGCTTCTATATTTGCAACATAGTTTCTTAGAGAGCAGCTGTGAGGCCGGCAGCGGCAGGCGGGGAACCTTGGCTTCCTCCGTCACTGGAGCAAGCAAGCCTCCCTGTTCGCTTCAGCTGCCTGGCTTCCAGCCGCCATCTTGGTTGGCAGTTAATTTGCATATCTCGCTGATTAGCCAATGGGAAGGGTAGCGAAGTTACGGTTAATTACCATGTTTCACTTTTATTAGATAGGATGGGCAGTGGGAAGGAAAGTTGTCATTTCTGTTTTTTTAAAAATAGCCAGATGTGTTTTCTGTGCAGTTTTTTAGTGATTCCCATTGTTTTTCCTCAGCCTTTTGGTTTGCTTTAGTTAGATTTTGGGGGGAACATTTTGAGCTTCAAGTGATCAATGTTAAATTTGAAGTTTTGGGTTCAGAAGCTTCTTTGCTTCTCAGTTTTGTGGCGTTTAAGAGATTATAGAGGCCTCACAGAACAACAAAAGAACTGTCTCCCAAGCAGTAAATATTACCTATTTTTAAGAACTTGGAGGAGTATTCATCTTCCCCTTTCTTCTTAGCATTTATATCTGTCCACTCCACCAATGTTTTAGTTTTCTTTAAGCAGTAATGGTTATTAATATTTCAAATGACAAAAGAGGAGTCATTAGTTTCTCTTGCTGTGATGTCAGCTGTCATTTGTGTCACTGTCTGTTACTTTCCTGCCTTTGCACCAGGTTATGGAGACAGAACGGATGATTTATCTGGTGACAGAATATGCTAGTGGAGGGGAAATATTTGGTAAGTACATTTATCACATTCTTTAAACAGCCATTGAGCACACTGTGTCGAACCTAAAATAGCTGCTCCATGCCTTGGTCAGTTGAGCAGCTGTCACTGGATGCTGACCCTGAGTGCTGTTATTTCTGATCAACCAAGTAATTTTAATGGTTTTTGATTCACCTATTTAAGTCTCTTACCACCTTCATTTCCTTAGCAAAAGTTTTTATTTATTTATTGTGTTGACAGCTGAGATTAAAGATCTCCAAGAACAAACATTCCTCTGAGCATGTGACTCAGGGCCTTTCCTATTGCCACAGTCTAATGGGGTTACCAAGAGTGACAGAACTCCCACGTGTGTGGGCCTCTGTTGTGTGAGAAAGAGGCACTTGGAGCAAGCAATCTCACCCTAATGTATTCTTCAAACTTTTAAAAACTAAGACATTAACTGTATTCCTTACCATTTGTTTAACAGTTCCCTTCATGATTCTTGTAATTTTGGAGGTTCTGTCTTCAGTAGCTATTTTCTTCCTCTCACACTTAGCACAATATCAAAATTAAGCAGGAGAATTTGTTACCAGGAAATCTGACTTTTCAAGTTGGTGGAAACAGACTCAAATTTTTTTATAACAGTAATAAATGGAGCCAATAAAATTGGAGACTAAACGTTCAAATCTGGATTGACATCTTTTTATGCCTAATTATTTTCATTTTAGCAAGTAACAACAGAGAAAAGCTCTCATATAATTTAGGTTTATCAAGTTTCTTTTTTTTTCCAGTTTTGTTTTGGTCTAAATATGGATGTTAAGATATTTCTATTTTTTTAAAAAACAGCCATATTAGACGGCACTTACTAATTTAAAGTATATTTAAGAGTATGGAAGCATTTTTTAAAAATGTATTTTATTGATTTTTTACAGATAGGAAGGGAGAGGGATAGAGAGTTAGAAACATTGATGAGCCAGAAACATCCATCAGCTGCCTCCTGCACACCCCCTACTGGAGATGTGCCTGAAGCCAAGGTACATGCCCTTGACCAGAATCGAACCTGGGACCCTTCAGTCCGCAGGCCGACGCTCTATCCACTGAGCCAAACCGGTTAGGGCTGGAAGCATTTTTAAAGTGGAATCATCTTATAAATGACAGACAGGTCAACTGACTGTATGGAGTTTTTTTGTGTTAAACCTTCCCCACACAGATTATAATTTTGTGTTTAAGCATCACAGGATGAGTGTGAGCCCTTTTTAAAGGAGGTATCATGATTTCTTGATTTCTTAATAATATGTTTAATTGGCTTTGTACATGTGCTTTTGCACAATATTAATCTTGGGAGAAAGAGACCATGTCATCTTAGTGTTCATGATAAAATAACCAAACACAGTACAGTTCAGATCTACTTTGCTCTTTAGGAAAACAGATTTTAAAAGTACAGAAAAGGTAACAGTCTCCTGGTCACACAGATTCTTTGTGGGAATGTAGCTCAAGCCATGAGGAAACAGAATAGTACTTCTCATAATATTATTGTAAAATATTCAGATGGTGTATTACCCAAAGAAAACATTGTGACTGCAACAGGGATATAACTGTCTCATGAATTCTGATTTTTAAATGTATCTGTATACCAGATGGAAGATGGGCTTATTCAAGTACATGAGCTGTGGAGGTAGTTAGACCCATTTCTGAATCAGATCACTGCCACCTTTTGCTGTTTTACTTTGAGCAAATTACTAAATGATTCTGGAACTCGGTATCATTTTCTACAAAAGTAAGATCTGTAATACCTGCTTCACAGTTGTGAAGGTGAAATGAGATGGCATATGTAGAGCCCTAGCACTCTGCTTCCTCCACCTCCATGTTGAAGAACAAATGGGACGTTGACTTCTAGCGTGATAACAGGAGGAGCTCTGCTGACCTGCTCCCCAGTGAAAATGATTTATTTAAAAAAACAAAGAAGTCCCAGCCATTTAAAAACTCTAGAAATGGTCATAAGGATGAACAGCAAACGAAGAAACTATTCAAGAACATCTATAAAAATTTGGCAAGCAATGAGAGAGTCTGGGTATTTTAATCTTCACCTGAGGATTTTTTTTTTTAAAGAGAGAGAGAGAGAGAGAGAGAGAGAGAGAGAGAGAGAGAGAAAGAAACATCGATCAGCTGCCCTCTCTTGGTAATCGAATATGCATCATTTAGATACAGGACAATGCCCCAACCGACTGATCCACGTGGCCAAGGCAAGAGTCTGGGTTTTTAAATCGGTACTGCTCTCTCTTTCCCTCTCGCCAGCTCAGCAAGATAGAGCTGCCACTGAAGGCTACTCTAGTTAGAATATAATCCCCCACTCGCACTCCTCCAATTTAAGACTAACAGCTTTCTTCCCAGAGGGCTAGGACATCAGCATTTCTCATCCTTCCTCCAGCTAGCTACCTGTTGCTGCCGCTAGTAAATCCTGGGTGAATGCAGCTGAAATGTGGGGACTCCCTTTTTCCACCCTGTCCTTCCTTACGGAGTTTGGGTGTGGTGTGCTAAGACTATTGGGGCCCAGATCACTCTTGCCTCAAGTTGTAAATCAGTGGTTCTATCCTAATAGAGGCAAGCTGAGAAGATCTCAGGCCACATCCTTTCTTCCTCTATTGAGCTCTGAGCTCCTCCAGTGAGAGAGTCAATCATAGGACTTTACCACTATCCCCACACCTAGCTTCAGACCTGGGCTCAGAATTTGCCAGAAGGAGAAATGGATTGTAAAACAGCTCATAATTTCTTCAAGGAAGTGATTTTATTTGTTTCAAAGAATGAAGCTCAAGCTTGAAGACCCTCACAAGAAGAGTGGAGATTGTGGTAAAAGGCATTTAAGAGAATTTTCAAGAGGCAGGCTACACTGTAGGACAGCTCGTTTGCAGGAGAGAATCAGAGAAGAAGCATAGAGACTTACTGATGTCAGAACACAAATCAAACACTGATTTCAGAAACGATTGCTTCAAAGGCACCTGCATTTGATTGGATTGTTTGTAGAACAGTTTACTTTCCAGGGCCTTCTTGAAAACAGTAGAGCACCAGCCAGCAATTATTGGAGTTTAGCACTTGGGTGTAGTCAAGGATAGACAGGAAGAGAGCCCTATCCAAACCATGGTGATCCAGTGATCTGAGGGTAACTGTGGAGACACCACAGCTGTGCCTTCCTGAGGAACAGCATCCATCATAAGATGAACATAATGTATGGGAATAAACTCCACTAAAATACTCCAACCAGTCACTAAACAAACAAGCTATAGCAATAACATGTCCAGAAGGTTAGCGGTGTACCAGTACCCAGAGGCACTACAATGTATTATCTGAAACTAGAGGCCTGATGCATGAAGATTTGTGCAAGAATAGGCCTTCCTTCCCCTGGCTGCTGGCACCGCCTTCGCTCTGGCTGGAGCTGCCTTTCTGCCTTGGCTCTGGGCTGGAGCTGCCTTCTGTCTTCGCGCGCTGCCCAGAGGCCCGGAACAGCCAGGGTGGGGTGGAATGCCTGTGTTGTTGCCATGGCGATGATGCAAGCATCCTGGCCTGGCCGCCGCCATCTTTGTTATGCCAATTTGCATATTTCCTCCTTATTGGCTGTGGGCGCCCCCATCTTTGTCGTGAAGGAACAGTCACTTTGCATATTCTGTCTTTATTAGGATAACTAGAGGCCCGGTGCACAAAAATTTGTGTACTCGGGGGGGGGGGCGTCCCTCAGCCCGGCCTGTGCCCTCTTGCAGTCTGGGACCCCTAGGGAGATAACGACCTGCTGGCTTAGGCCTGCTCCCGGGTGGCAGAGGGCAGGCCCAATTCCTAGGTGCAGCCCCTGGTTGGGCTCAGAGCAGGGCCGATTGGAGAGTTGGGGAGCCACCCCCTGTCATGCACAGAGCAGGGCGGATCGGGAGGTTGCGATGCCACCCTCAGTCACGCTCAGGGTAGGGCCGATTGGGGGGTTGGGGCGCCGCCCCCTGTCACACTCAAGGCAGGGTTGATGGGGAGGTTGCGGCGCCACCCCCTGTCATGCACAGAGCAGTGCCAATCGGGGTTGGGGCTCCATACCCTGTCACGCACAGAGCAGGGCCCATCAGGGGGGTTGGGGCTCCGTACCCTGTCACGCACAGAGCATGGTCAATCAGGGGGTTGGGGAGCTCCCTCCTGTCATGCACAGAGCAGGGCCCATCAGGAGAGGTGAGGAGCTCCCCCCGTCACTCACACAGTAGGGCCGATAGGGGAGTTGGGGCACCGCCCCCTGTCACACACAGAGCAGGGTGGATCAGGGGGTTGGGGCACCGCCCTCTATCACCCACAGAGCAGGGCCGATCAGGGGTTGGGGCGCTGCCACTGTCACACTCAGGGCAGGGCCGATCAGGGGGTTGGGGCGCCCCACCCTGTCACAGAGCCGCAGGGCAATTAGGGCGTTGGGGCGCCTTCCCCTGTCACGAACAGAGCAGGGCTGATGGGGAGGTTATGGCCCCGCCCCCATCACACACAGAGCTGCAGGGCAATCAGAGGGTTGGAGCGCCGCACCCTGTCACACACAGAGCCGCAGGGTGATCAGGGGGTTGAGAAGCTCCCCCCTGTCACACACAGAGCCGCAGGGTGATCAGGGGGTTGAGGCACCTTCCCCTGTCACGAACAGAGCAGGGCCGATGGGGAGGTTATGGCCCGCCCTCTGTCACACACAGAGCCGCAGGGCGATCAGGGGTTTTGGGCGCTGCCCCCTGTCACGCTGATCCCGGTGCCGGGAGGCCTCGCGGCTTCGCTGATCCCGGTGCTGGGAGGCATATTACCCTTTTACTATATAGGATAAAGGCCTGGTGCATGGGTGGGGGCCGGCTGGTTTGCCCTGAAGGGTGTCCTGAATCAGGGTGGGGGTCCCCACTGGGGTGCCTGGCCAGCATGGATGAGGGGATGATGGCTGTTTGCAGCTGGTCACAGCCCCTTCAGGGTAGGGGTCCCCACTGGGATGCCTGGCCAGTCTGGTTGAGGGGCTGAAGGCTGTTTTCAGGCTGGCGGGTGAC